TTATTTAGGAATGCCAAATCGATCAAGTGCTTTGTCTGTAATGAAACCATATCGAATCAGGTATGACGAATTTAAGCACCGTTCGCTTCAGAATATTTCTAAAATAAACACAGACTTATTTTGTGTGAATCGTACTTCTAGCAGCGTGAGTCATTATTTATATTTATTTAAAAAACTTAATTTGTAGAGCTTTACACCTGTGTACTAACAACAAACACTAGTGTTCCTTCGTCGACGGTGATTAAGCAAGAAAACATGGAACCTCATGGCATGGAATATGAAATTATGGAATATGAGCGATTAAATGCAACGTCGAATGTTACTAGTGATACGAGTACCTTGATTCAAACAAATGAACTTTACGATCAATTAAAAAGATGTCACGAAACGCTAATAATTTTATCTCAGGGTATTCAAACACTATCGAATGATAGCAGTAGATTAAATGAGGAATCATTACATGTGAATAATTTAATACCGGGCGTTCAGAACGAGCTAAATCAAATGAAAGTCTCCATCGAGAAAAAAGATACATTTTTTTCTAGTACAGCGTTAAACCAAGAGGCCATACAGCAACAACTCTCTAGCATAAAAGAAATCGTAGATGAAATGGAATTTGTCTCCGTTGATGGTACTTTGATCTGGAAAGTAACTAATATTTCAGAAAAAATGGCTGATGCACAATCTGAAAGACAGACATCAATTTATTCGCCTCTCTTCTACTCTTCACCAACCGGTTATAAAATGAGAGCACGACTCTATTTAAATGGTGATGGGAATGCTCGTCGAACACACATGTCATTATTTTTCGTACTTATGCGTGGTGATTATGATTCATTACTTAAATGGCCGTTTAATTACAAAATCACTTTCTGTTTATTCGATCAATCAGGTCAAAATCAACATGTTATCGATTCTTTCAGACCAGATACAAAGTCAAATAGTTTTCAGAGACCACGATCAGAAATGAATGTCGCCAGTGGAATTCCAAAGTTTTTTCCACTATCAATGATTCAACAAGAGAATAACAACTATGTTCAAGATAATACCATGTTTATCAAAGTGATTGTCGATTTTGCAGATTTTTCGAAAATGATGTTACCAAATGCACTTAGTCTTAATCCTGGTCTACCTAGTCATGTACAACAACATTTAATTAAACACGACTTTACACAAGACAAGATTTATGACTCTCGACTTGACTTGTGACTTGTCCAACACTGGTATTAGCTTAACCCTTTACACCCGCCCGTCCCTTCCAAGGGACGTAGATATAATGGATTCATAAAAAGAACGGATCATCAGCCAAAAAGCTAGATTATTACTGATGTAAGACAATAGGGTAGCCTAACGCTTGATTGAAATAAGAAAGAAAAATTTCCATCCTAATCCGATATTTTTGCATTTTAAAATTGAATGAAGTTCAGAAATGAGTTTTTCTTTTATAATATTTTCTACACTTCTAGCCACTACAGCAACCGACATTTGAACGGCCGATATTTGAGGACCGACATTTGAACGACCGACATTTCAACGACCGCCGTTTGAGGGACCGACATTTGAGCGACCGACATTTGAACGGCCGATATTTGAGGGACCGACATTTGAGCGACCGACATTTGAACGGCCGATATTTGAGGGACCGACATCTGAGCGACCGACATTTCAACGACCGCCGTTTGAGGGACCGACATTTCAACGACTGACGTTCGACGTACCGACATTTGAGCGACCGACATTTCAACGATCGACATTTGAGGAACCGACATTAGAAGCACCAACATTTGAACGACCGACATTTGCCGGATCGGCATTTCAACGGCCGACATGTTAACCGCTGACATTTGAACGACTGACGTTTGAACGGCCGACATTTGAACGACCGACATTTGAGCGACCGACATCTGAACGACCGACATTTGAGCGAGTGGCATCTGAGCGACGGGCATTTGAGGAGCCGAGATTTGAACGACCGACATCTGAACGAGCGACATTTGCGGGATCGACATTTCAAGGGCGAGCGACGACGTGCGAATGACCGACATTTCAACGGCTGACATATGAGCGAGCGACATCTGAGCGACCGACAGTTGGCGGACCGTCGTTTGAGGACCGACATTTGAGGGACCGCCAGTTCACGGATGGACGTTTGAGCGGCCGACATTTGAACGAGCGGCATCTGAGCGACGGGCATTTGTGGACAAGACATTTTAATGACCGACATTTGCGGGATCGACATTTCAACGGCCGACATTTGATCGGCGGACATGTTAACCACCGGCATTTGAACGACTGGCGTTTGAACGGCCGAGATTTGAACGAGCGACATCTGAGCGGCCTACAGTTTATCAAAAGGCAAACTTCTCCGAAAGATATTATACTGAAATTTTACTCCGCAAAAGAAAGAGGAGGTATTCAAGGTTAACGATGTACTTTTGCTAGTTAGTGAAGTTAAAAGTTAACTCCAAGCGGATGATTAGATATGCCTTCAGCGATGTTGTAAGTTCTTTAATTATTGACTATTTGATACTTCAAAACTTCGGACCTGCTATTCGACTGCACAATTAAGAAAGAACGAATTTTGATTTGAAACTGTTGAAGTTATTCTCTAGGCTACATCACTTGAAACCGCATAAATACAAAGAAGGAAAGAAAACACGTAGGTGAAGTTAGCGGCAGATTGGACTTTTTTACAAAAACATTCAATCTGACAACTGTGCCAAATTCGGGCATCGCTGTACCAGACACCAATTCGAATTTTCTATCGGCTGACATGTTCAGCTTTCACCCATATTATACAGAAAAGTTTTAAAAAACAAACTACGGATTTTTCCCAAGCAAAAACACATGAAAATTTATATTTCAATAAAACTTCGCACTGAGAACTGTGCCAACGAAAACATCTCATGTGCCACATAGAACCCGCCGAGCGTCATCCAATGATGTATCTTACAAGCATACATCTCCATGTCCATCGTTCAAAATATTTCAAAAACTCGGTTTTCAGGCCGTTTCTGACAGTATTTCGCGAAAACATTCGCTCTCAAACCTGTGCCAAATGAGATCAATAGTTCAACAGATAGATCTCGACGGGCTCTATCCAGTCGTGTATCTTACAAGGATACATCTCAATGTCCATCGTTCAAAATATTTCCATCCAGCAATTGTATTTCCATCAAAAAATGCAGTGTGAACGGGTACTCAGCAGTTGTTTGTATATAGCCTAGTAATTATAAAAATTATTGTTTGATTCAATATATGTTGTGAGATTTCATGTTTTGATGATGAGTCTGAAGCTAACAGTGCTTCTCTTAAAATGCGAACTTCTTTAAATATATCTTCATCATATCTGACCTTCCGTCTATATTCTTGGGCAGCACTTTTTATTACACTGATTGTTGGCACATACGTAAAATTTCCTGCGCTAAACAGTACGTTATCTGCTTTTCGTACGTTGGATTCGAATACGTTTAATGGACTAACTTCAGCCGCATGTTTAGCTAAAATTATAAAAACAGCTAACATTACAAGACTTAGTACGTTGGATTTTTCTCATATCGAAGTAAACGAATTCAAAAATTTTAGATGAAGTCTAAAAAATATTGATTGATTATTCACCCATTTCTAATCTAACATCACCGGATAGTTGTCGACCAGCTACTTCTTCTTCTGCATTGTGATGCTCTTCACCAAGTATTTCGACTGAAAATAACGCAAGCATGTTCTTTGGGGTTCATCTTTTAATTTGATACATAGAACGATGCAGCACAGTTTAATTTTACAATGAGCCATGCGCGAAAAATATGCTGAATTTCTCTTACGAGATTGTTTTTGTTTAACATGGTGGTATTGAAATTTTACGGTGCAGGTTAATCCTGCTTCAATCAGTTTCTGGCTGAATATATTTGTCCAATTATCTTTTAATTTATTTTGTTTATGATCAAAAATTGTTGTCCATTCACCATACGAAAGCAAGAAACATAAAGTACTTTTGGGAATATTTGACAGAGTTTCATCTGTAGCTGAACGCGTTGCTTTCCGTTCAATAGATGGAATTGTAGATAACGTTGAGTTATTTTTATCATCAGCGTTAAC